TATTTCTACCTTCAAACATACGAAAATAAGTATATTTATTTCTGTTAACTAAAAAGTACAACAAACAAACAAAACTAACAAGTCTTGTTGTAAATCAGAAACAAAGTAATATATATATATATATATAAATTTGAATGTTATATATATATATATATATAACATTCAAATTTTGTTTCAATAAATCCTCTTTGAACGAGGTCCTGTAGTAAAGCTTCAGTGCGTTTTAAAACTCATGGGTTGAAGGTTGAAAATACGATACGTTTCTTATTTCTCAATATTTACTATTGAAAGTTTATTTATTTTTTTCTTTTAGCGACAAACTTATGGTTCTTTGGCCTAAACTCTATAAAGATAAACCATACTTAGCGATTGTTCTCAGTGTAATGATTTGATTCATGTCACATAGCAACAAGGTAAACACAACAGACGACCTCTACCAGAGGAACAAAGAACAAAAAATTAAATATGAAATTAAAATGATATGAGTTTACGCTGTTTATAAGTGATATCAATGAAATTATTCCATTGTAAACAATCATTATAGACATTCTATGTTTAGAAAGTCCAGTCGAAACAGCTGAAAGCTTGTAGTTAACAAAAGTTAGAACTGTGTTAGAAGTTTCCGGAATTAAAAAAAAAGAAAAACATTAGAAAACTGCTTTCTTTTCAAAGGTGAGGAGAGAATTTTTTAATGACTATATTTATCAAATCCATTATTAATAATATTAAAAGTTGTGACGCTTTATTTTAATTTTTTTTACTTTTTTATTGATAATTTTGCTCATTTGCTATGGACATCGGTGGGTTTGAGCCAATCACGGGCAAGCTCTTATTTCCGTTAAATGTTTTGGTTATTTTCGTACCACCTTTTCTTGATTCCATTCACCATTTTCTCTTTATTAAAAAGGTAAAAAAAGAAAAAGAATCGAATGGTAAGAAACTCAGTTATCAATTTACTTATTTGTTCTTTTAGGTTTCCTGGATTAGAAGGAAAGACTTCCACGTTCTAACAGTTGGTTCTGACACGTACATTACCGACGACCGCTTCCAAGCCGTCCTTACCCAGTCTGCAAAGGACTGGATGTTACAGATTAAGTTCGTTGAATTGAGTGATGCTGGATTATACGAGTGTCAGGTTAGCTCCGATCCTAAAATCAGCCACTTTTACAACCTCAATGTTTTAGGTAAGTAGGGTAATATTTCAGTGTCATACGAACGTGTGTTTTTAAGCATAGCAGAACTTGTCCCAAAATTGACTTTTTTTTCCATCACTCGATGCTATGGGGTAACTAAGTAACGTACATGAACCTTAAGAGCACAGAATTCGTTTTTTTTATATTGATATTTCGTTCGATAACGCAAGAAATATGATTGGCGTCATATAATGAAAACCACATGAACTAGAAAAACGAGAGAGAAGACAAATTTGCCTCTGAACTTTCAATTAACTAATTGCGTATTCCTATATTATTACAAAAAGTAAGTATTAGTTTAGTTATTATCATTTCTCTACATATTTTTAATGTGGATTTTTTAAGGAAAATGATCACTTCTCCGAAGTCGGAACAAAACGTTGGGGCGTAAGTAATTTCACTTTCTCTATCTTAGGTTAAAAATACATCGAGCTAATGGCATAGAAAGCTATAGCATTCGATAAGTTTATACAGCAATAGCACTGGACAAATACACACATCAATAGCACTGGACAAATACACACATCAATAGCACTAGACATTTAAACACATCAACAGCATTGGACAAATACACACATCAATAGCACTAGACATTTAAACACATCAACAGCATTGGACAAATACACACATCAATAGCACTAGACATTTAAACACATCAACAGCATTGGGCAAATACACACATCAATAGCATTGGACAATTACACACATCAATAGCACTGGACAATTACACACATCAACAGGATTGTACAAATACACACATCAACAGCATTGTACAAATACACACATCAATAGCACTAGGCATTTAAACACATCAACTGCATTGGACAAATATACACATCAATAGCACTGGACAATTACACACATCAATAGCACTGGACAATTACACACACATCAACAGCATTGTACAAATATACACATCAACAGCATTGGACAATTACACACATCAACAGTATTGTACAACTACACACATGAAAAGCATTGTACAACTACACATATCAATAGCATTGTACAACTACACACATCAATAACACTGGACATGTATACAAATCAATAACACTAGACAAGTACACACACATCAATAGCACTGTATAAGTACACACATAAAAAAATATAATTCTGAGAAATGTAGCCCAGCAGGGAGCGTATTCCTAATCAAGGGGTTAAATTTCAAGATATTTACCGTTCTAGAAAGAACGCTTCTAGTGAACACATTTTTTTATATTATTCAAATATCGTGTTTCATTAGTTTGTCTAATACATAAATTCAGATGTAATCGTCACAAGATCGTTTAACATCGTTAATGGTCCTGCATACAAACAGAGCATGCAACAAAACGCACTCCCATAATATACCAATCATAAACAATCCTGCTATAGTAAATACATCTTCGCATTGTCCTCAGTACGAAAATATAGCATCCAACAATACATGCAGTAGATTTTCATTTATACTACTGTGACGCCATTTTAAAAGTGCCCTAGTGGAGGAATTTTAAGATACAAATCGTGCGAATGCTTGATTGACTAAGCATTTCACGTGATTCTTAATGACGTCACATCTTGTGAGTGACGTCATTAAAGCAGACATCTTAGTTAACGACTGCTGAAAGCGAAGACTGATTAATTAATATTCTATTCATGCAGAGTGGAAGGAAAAGTTACAGTCCTTAAACTACACTAGGCTTGAAGAACAACAGAGACTGTAATAGTAGTTAACACAATGATGCCCCTTTTTGAGTTTTTGTATGAGATTATATATTTACTTTAAAATATAATTGAAGACAGAATATCAACTAAGGCATAAATTACAATGATAGAACAATGTTATATTGTTATATACAGAACACAAATTCCTTCAAATGGTTTATGGATGACATCGAAAATGAAAAACATCTAATTTTCAGAAATATGGAGAAATGTTTCAGGCTTAGAATTTTTTTTTTTTTTACAATAGCTCAGCGGTACGTCTGAGTGCTTACAACGTTGAAAATTCGGTGTTGATACCCGTGGTGGGTAGAGCACTGATAGCCCATTGTATAACTCTGCGCCTAACAACAAACCAATCAAACAACGAATTCCAAAAAAAAATGACGTATTTTTATTTACACCCCATCATTTACAGCACTATTTATAGTTCACGACACAAATCATCTTTAAACCCTAAGATAGTAATAAATCACGTTATAAATATTAAATATACACTACTCCATTGTCTGAACTCTGTACAGAAATACAACGTGTAACATCGAACACTTCATACACCATATTTACATTATATGATAATAATATAAAACGTAACAATGAATGCATGTTAGAGCATTGTCGATACTCCAAGACGGTATATGATTCATGTGTGAAAAAAGATCATTACGTAATAATGTTCTAAATATGTTCAGAATAACCATTTGTTTGTTTCAAACATTGTAACAACGTATCCATCTTCGTATGTAAAACATTAAGTAAATAACAATTAGAATTTTGACGATTGTGTGTACGTGTTTTTATTTAAAAACAATTTTGTTGCTAATCACATTAAAATTGAAAGAACCATCAAATTAAAGGTATTATAATAGTATGTTTCGTGATGTAACTAATATGAAAGGTGTTATAATATTCTATTTCATGAAGTAACTAAAGTGAAAGGTGATATAACAGTCTATATCATGAAGTAACTAAAGTGGAAGGTGTTATAATATTCTATTTCATGAGGTAACTAAAGTGGAAGGTGTTATAATATTCTATTTCATGAGGTAACTAAAGTGGAAGGTGTTATAATATTCCATTTCATGAAGTAATTAAAGTGAAAGGTGTTATAATATTCTATTTCATGAAGTAACTAAAGTGAAAGGTGATATAACAGTCTATATCATGAAGTAACTAAAGTGAAAGGTGATATAACAGTCTATATCATGAAGTAACTAAAGTGAAAGGTGATATAACAGTCTATATCATGAGGTAACTAAAGTGGAAAGTGTTATAATATTCTATTTCGTGATGTAACTAAAGTGAAAGGTATTATAACAGTCTATTTCGTGATGTAACTAAAGTGAAAGGTGATATAATAGTCTATAATAGTTGATTTAACTTAAGCATAATAATTATGTCGAGAGTTTAAGCTTTTTCTTTACGCTTAAAATTAAAGTACAAGTGCAAGCTTGACAATATCAATCTGAACGACGTCTCATGTGTACGTCGGTTAAACGGTCATGTCAGGGGCTTTTATAACCGTCCCTAATGTTATACTACTGACGAGAGGAAAGACAGCTAATCAGCAGCGGTTAACTTATAACCGTTCCTAATGTTATACTACTGACGAGAAGGAAGACAGCTAATCAGCAGCGGTTAACTTATAACCGTCCCTAATGTTATACTACTGACGAGAGGGAAGACAGCTAATCAGCAGCGGTTAACTTATAACCGTCCCTAATGTTATACTACTGACGAGAAGGAAGACAGCTAATCAGCAGCGATTAACTTATAACCGTTCCTAATGTTATACTACTGACGAGAGGGAAGACAGCTAATCAGCAGCGGTTAACTTATAACCGTCCCTAATGTTATACTACTGACGAGGAAAGACAGCTAATCAGCAGCATCTACCGCCCCAAAAATTCTGTCACGCTCTTTGTCTCGAATAACAGTTTTAAAAAAGTTCACAGTTGAATGTGCGAGCATGTTCAATGGGACCTTGGCTCGAACTCACGATCTTTCGATCCGCAGCCCCATACACTAACAACAGTATTTAACCGTTGGAATAATATTTTTAATTGTTAATGGCGCCCGGGTAGTGAAAGTAGGTTTTTCTCGGCGTACTCCTGATTTCCTCCCACAACAAAATTGAAGGTATTTGAATCAGTTGATCTCCACCCATACTTGTGCTACCTCCCACAAATTTTGTTTTGCCCCAAGGCTTAACTTTGCGGTTTTGATTCGCCTTTTGCTTGTCACCTGACCTCTTCCTTCTTAAGTTTTGAGTTAATATATCATCATTAAGTTAAATTTACTAATTTCTGAACACTCTCAATTAGATTTTGCTCTGGGTTCTTTTAAATTGTTTAAAATCGAAATACCTGCCACGGTAAACATAAAATGTATATAATTCTTAAAGATTTAACGTAAATAAAGAAAAAAATTCACAGACGTTAGGGGGGGGGGGAGAAAGCTAATTTAGCTTTAAAAAACTTAACTTGTTGAGGGTTTACGTACGACCAAAACAATATCATTGGTTGACTGACTCGTTGAGACTTCTAAATCAACCAGACGTAGGTACTCATAAGTAATGTTTTTTTAGTTTAATATAATATCGATACACGCGTTCACGCTAAGTTCTTTATCAAGTTTCCAATAAGACTGTAAGTCACAAATACACAGGGTCTTAACTTTTTGTTTTGTTTTGTCCTTTGCGTATACGACAGGCTTTTGTTGTATTATTAAATAGTTGTCAAGTTAACGAAAACTATTGCAGATGAAAAGAAACGCAATAGAGTATTTAGTTGTTTTTTTAGGAATTGTCAACAAATGTCAGAAAACTGGATGAAAAGTCCTATAGGTTTCTGATATTTCTTGTAAAGATTTATACCAATGAGCTTTTAGTTGATGTCGTTAAAGCTTTCAACGTACACATGGTTTTAATTGTCCTATCAAAAAGACGCCTTTAGCGAAGAGTGAAGTCTGTGTCATTAGCCGTTCCGTCACACAAGTTGTTGTAATGTAGGTAAATCATGGTTTGTTTGTTTGTTTTCGAATTTCGCGCAAAGCTACACGAGGGCTATCTGCGCTAGCCGTCCTTAATTTAGCAGTGTAAGACTAGAGGGAAGGCAGCTAGTCATCACCACCCACCGCCAACTCTTGGGCTATTCTTTTACCAACGAATAGTGGGACTGACCGTCACATTATAACGCCCCCACGGCTGAAAGGGCGAGCATGTTTGGTGGGACGGGGATTCGAACCCGCGACCCTCAGATTGCGAGTCGAGCGCCTTATCCACGTGGCCATGCCGGGCCGTAAATCATGGACTGATTTCCTTCGTTCTGTTTAAGACGTTATTTAATTTGTAACGCTAGGTGACGTATTGTGGAACCTGTTAACAGCAGGTACACATGAATTTGTAAACGAAGTACGATTGCCTTAGTATATTTCACCTCGAAGAAGTCCTTTGCGTATACTTGAGATTTAAATATCACAGCGATATTTGTAGATATGATGTTTTTAAGATGTTTAAAAACATTTTTTAGAAAATCGAAGAATTAATAAAAGGTAACACAATAGCTATAATACGTTTAGGTTCATCGGACAACTGTATTGCGACGTTGTTTACATTCAGCAAGTTACTTGTTCATTATCTTATTAATGAGTTTTTCAGGGAAATAGTTCAATAAGCTCTGAACTGAACACCATTTCAGTGCTTGCCACCTTAAAGGCCTTGTGAACCAGCACAAACACTAAATTATTTTTGAAAACAAATGCTCTAATTGAAAGATTAAAATTTAAAAGTTGGTTTATAGTAACAGGATACTGACAGTGTTCTACCCTTGTTAAACATTTGTAGATTCAAAAAGTGTAATGTAGAGTGTTTTTTTAACAGTGACTTTATATTCTGATGTTTGTCATTCAAAAAAACATAAAAAAAAAATATTTTTCTTTGTTGCGAAATTAATCCTATTGATGAGATGTTAGCGTTAGCTAAAATTTAAAATAATAACAGTGTATTAATTTATCATGTATAGAGATTAATGGTCGTTTTCTCCTATATACGTTAATAAGTAAGCAAAAATTATGAACGCTTCTTGAGCTGTGTGTATCATAGGTGTATCCCGTTTCGTATAAATTCAAAGATAAACTTTTTTTTTGTATTTTAAAGTGGCCGAGGCTACAATAGAAGGAGAATCCATTCGTTATGTCAAGACGAAGAGCTCCATCAACTTGACTTGTGTAATAAGCAACAGTCCAGCGGCTCCTGTCTTCGTTTTTTGGTACCACAACCAACGAATGATCAACTATGATTCTGCTCGTGGAAAGATCTCTGTGGAGAAGGGCAACGAGGACACTGCCATTAGTACACTGTATATTAAAGATGCTGAACTGGCGGACAGCGGCAACTACACGTGTGGCCCTTCCAACGCTGGGCCGACAAGTGTATATGTCCATGTGTTGAACGGTAAGGGATGGGGAGGAAGTGGAAATTTATTATCGTTAGTGGATTATAGTTCTGTAGATGATAACTGGTGCTGTCGTTTCTTGTGATACGTACTTTATTCACAGTACGGAGTGAAATTCCACTCGACAGATCAATGTAAAGCTCGTTCCTATTTTCACCCATAGTTTTATGGCTGTTAAAACACAATGTATTATTTATTCTCAGTCAGAAAGGCACATATTTAGTTTGTTTAACGTAACATGACACCTGTATCGTATTTAAAAGTAACACGACTCAAGATTATGATTTACCTCAAACATCTTATTACATATTTTGAAAAGGAATTCTTTTCATGGAATTTAAGTTGCATTGTTACAAAAGGATTCTTTCCATGGAATTTAAGTTGCATTGTTACAAAAGGATTCTTTCCATGGAATTTAAGTTGCATTGTTACAAAAGGATTCTTTCCATGGAATTTAAGTTGCGTTGTTACAAAAGGATTCTTTCCATGGAATTTAAGTTGCATTGTTACAAAAGGATTCTTTCCATAGAACTTAAGTTGCATTGTTACAAAAGGATTTTTTTCACTGAAAATTTAATTTATATTGTTATCACCAAAATTTTCCATGACAGCGATACAAAGGCATTCTTTCAACAGAAAATTTAATTTATATTGTTAATACTAACAATCTCTTTGATAGCGATACAAAGGGATTCTTTAAACAGAAAATTTAATTTATATTGTTAATACCAACAATCTCCTTGATAGCGATACAAAGAGATTCTTTCAACAGAAAATTTAATTTATATTGTTAATACTAACAATCTCTTGATAGCGATACAAAGGGATTCTTTGAACAGAAAATTTAATTTATATTGTTAATACCAACAATCTCCTTGATAGCGATACAAAGAGATTCTTTCAACAGAAAATTTAATTTATATTGTTAATACTAATAATCTCATTGATAGCAATACAAAGGGATTCTTTGAACAGAAAATTTAATTTATATTGTTAATACCAACAATCTCATTGATAGGAATACAAAGGGATTCTTTCAACAGAAAATTTAATTTATATTGTTAATACCAACAATCTCCTTGATAGCGACACCAGAAGTTTGGAAGAACGAAACTAGATCATTCTGAAATTTAATTTAACAGTTTCTATTACATAATAAAGAATGTTTCAGCATATCACTTATGTTTAATTTTCCAAAACTATAATTGAATCATTTGAGCAGAAAAAAAAAAGGTTGTGATAAAATATTAAACTAGAATCAACTAGCCAAATCTTTAGTTTAAATCTTATTTCAATTATTTACGAAAACTAATGCCGTGTAATAAATAATTATTTATCTTATACTTTGTAGGCAATATTATCAGTAATAACGCATTTACTTTGATAAGTCTATAAAGATCCTGTCAATAACGAGACTTCTGATAAAAGTTTATAAAGATACAATCAATATCAATGACCTTTATTTAAATACAAATTTGTCATTTTCTGTCAATAATAATGAATTTTAGGTTTTCCAATTATTTAATTACTTGTTGATACGACATCATAATGCTATAAATTATTGATTCAATTAGATAATATCTGTCATTATTAAAGGATCTTGCTTCAATATCAGAATTTACATCGTCTGTTTGTTTGTAATTAAGTAAAAAGCTACACTATGGGCACTCTGTGCTGTGCCCACCCTGGTGATAACTGGAAACAGTATTTATTGGGTAGATATATTTTTTACATAGAAATCTGTCTTCTTAACAGACACGTTTGGAAACGATTATTCAATTTACTAGAAATTAAAAACAAAGTATTTTTTTTTTTTTTTTTACGTTTGACTGTTGCTCAAAGTAACAAAATACATAGAATTTAATAAGAGCAAATAGAAAGATTTATAATTCCAAATTATTATGTGGAATTATGAAGACCTATCAGACAATTAAGTTATTCTATGCCATGTCAAACCAAACTGTGTATGATAAATTTCCTCATTGGATTTAATTTGGAAAACGTTTGTGATAATTATGGGAATGAAGTAAGTAATCGCGAGCATAAAGAGAGATATATAGAAATATAGAAATAGATATAGCATTAGAGATATAGAAATATAGAAATAGATATAGCATTAGAGATATAGAAATATAGAAATAGATATAGCATTAGAGATATAAAAATATAGAAATAGATATAGCATTAGAGATATAGAAAATTAGGTTTAATAATATAGTTTGTGTAAACTTGGTTAAAAATCAAGTTGTTGATTATACCATATAGCGATAAACACAATAACTTCTTCGTGACAAGAGTACAAATAGATTTAATCTTGTATTATTTTGTAACAAATGCTTTTCTAGAAGTTGTTCAATACTGAGGTGGTTAATAGTTAACAATACAGTATAAGCCTACTTGCATGTGCCTGATTTTTGAACGGTAGAATGACCATCAGTAGATGGTAAACGTATTTAACAGCCCCCACAATAATACTATGAAGCCAAATTTGAGTAACACCTGATTCTTCACTGGTAGAACACCTCTATAATGAATTATAAACATTAACGTGTAACCCAAATAGAATATCTAGACGTTTTAAAATGTTACCTATGTAGAATACGTAGACTTGGTAATGTTTGATTGTTAAATGTAAAATACCTATTACTAAAACACAAATATGCTAACACGTTATCAGTGGCGTATGCAGACTTTACATACAATAATTGAGGTTGGGGAGGAGAGTGTTAAGGATGACGACCTAACTTAATACAGGTGGAAAACAAAATTCTTTCTGCACCTGCATGAAACGTATTGTTCTAAAATTAAATTATACAATCACAATGTAAATAAATAAATACTAAAAAAATAAAAATATCCAGTAAATTAATTTGTCCGTAGCAACAACAACATCAAGAAAAAAAACACAAAAAAGGTTACAGTCAAATGAAGATCGGACCATCTTGATCCTCCAACTAAAATGTTGGGACATTTAATAGTTAAAAAATAGATAAAAATTCAGAAATTGAACACTCTGTACACTTATCAAGTGATTAAGATGGAGAATACTATTTGTGACTGTTAACCTATTGACAGGATTGAAAAGTTAATTTAAATATTAATTTTGACACAGAAAGTAACTATCGTTATGTAATGTGCACGTGTATATTAACAATAACAAGTTGTTTTTCTGAGCAGGATATATATTATAAACATCCAATTCTCTAATATATTCAATTTAATGAGATAATTCATCCCTCAGCCTACTCCAGATTCTATATATATGTATATCCATATATATATTTGTGTGTGTGTGTGCTCCCGGTGGCTCAGAAGTAAGACTCGTAGCTCGCAAGACTAAAATTCGGGTTTCGATACCCAGGGTGGGCAGAACACAGATATCCAACTGTGTAGCTTTGTGTTTAATAACAAACAAACTATGTATATGTATAGTAATTTCCCTTCGGGAAATATTGTTTCAAATATCTAGACCTTAATGTTTTATTTTTCTATGAAGGTCACTAAATAATTACTTTAAAAAAAACAACAACTTTGTTTTACATTACCAATTTCATAGCATCATCAGCTACTCTGTATAATGACAATTTTTATAATGTTTGGTAAATATCAAAGTTTACCACAAGTCACCGAAATCAATCTGTTAATTTTCTCTCTAAACCGTACCAACAGCTTCCTTAATAGAGTAAAACCAGGAAGTATCCTTTTCAATCTAAACGTTTAAACGTGACATAGTATCTCCATCGAAGTACCATTCTTAACTTTGTAGAAAATCAAGTCAAGTTTTGCCACCCTGGTCGTTACAGGAGGTAAGTATTTCCATTAATGTGACTTTCTATGACCAAGTTAATGAACATTTAAAGAATAGCAACTTAATCCCACATTGAGCCACAATTATAACTTTTACACTGTATCTTGACGTCTGAGCTTTGTGCTTGTTATGCCAGTATACGTCATACTTGACCTCATTTTCTGACTAATTTTCACACTAAAAATAACACATGTAGCATACTGTTGTATATTCAGACGTTAGAACAAAATGACAAACTGTTCATTAAATCACTATGTCATGTAGTTTCTTTAAGAAGATTTAGCGCAGTCAAAGTCTTATAAAAATGTGCTTCAAGTGACCACATTAAACGGCTGATTTGGTTTTTATTCCATATTACTTTTGATTAGGAAAAAGAAATAAAAAGAATTTGCCGTGTAGTGTGATTTATTATTTGCATTTAAACTAGGCTTATAGGTTTCATAACTTCGCTAGATTTTGGTACTTTAGCAATCTAACATTAAATATTTAGCACAGCATATAAAATAGGACTAGATCCCAGCTAACGAATTCGGGTATTGAAGACAAGGCTTTTTTAACAGTGAATGGTGGCAGACAAAAGATATATATATATATATCTTTATGGCTATTTTTACATCTTTGACTTGAAATCCATAATATACTAATTATGAGGATTTTGGAAAAAACCTGCACTTTGGCTTAATTTTCCTCACTGATAACAACTCTATTAGTTTCATTGCTTCGCTAACTTTCTATTTTAATGTCGTAACAATAATGTCTTTATTATTACATTTTTTCAAATATACATAGATCTGAGCGCTTAGATTGAGCCTTTAAATAAATGAAAAAATCTTAAAGGTTTCAAGAAAAAGAGATCTTTTAGTACAATCCTACACAAAAGTATGACAAAGCTCTGTTTAACAGTATTAAGATTTATTAAGTAAGTCTATAACAAAGCTTTAAGTAACATTAGTACAGTATTTTACTTAATCAAGTAACTTTGTAACAAAGCTCTGTTCAGCAGTATTAAGACTTATTAAGTAGCTCTGTAACAAAGCTCTGTTTAACAGTATTAAGACTTATTAAGTAACTCTGTAACAAAGCTCTGTTCAGCAGTATTAAGACTTATTAAGTAACTCTGTAACAAAGCTCTGTTTAACAGTATTAAGATTTATTAAGTAAGTCTATAACAAAGCTTTAAATGACATTAGCAGAGTATTTTACTTAATCAAGTAACTTTGTAACAAAGCTCTGTTCAGCAGTATTAAGACTTATTAAGTAACTCTGTAACAAAGCTCTGTTTAACAGTATTAAGCCTTATTAAGTAACTCTGTTTAACAGTATTAAGTCTTATTAAGTAACTCTGTAACAAAGTTATGTTTAACAGTATTAAGTCTTATTAAGTAATTCTATAACAAAGCTCTGTTTAACAGTATTAAGTCTTATTAAGTAACTCTGTAACAAAGTTATGTTTAACAGTATTAAGTCTTATTAAGTAATTCTATAACAAAGCTCTGTTTAACAGTATTAAGTATTATTAAGTAATTCTATAACAAAGCTCTGTTTAACAGTATTTTTGGGCAGAGGAACGCAATTGATCTAGAATGGCTTAACATATTTGGGCAGAGGAACGCAATTGATCTAGAATGGCTTAACATATTTCGCGAACTCGACATTTCACTCTTTGCGCACTAATGTCAATACGTTTCAATGAATACTACTAGCAACTATGGCAGATAGAAGGTTATTTTTGAAATGAGGCTAACAGCTACATAAAGCCCATTAAAACAACAAAAATGAACCATCCTTACTAATTTCCAGTTTCTCAGAACTTTAAAAATATCTTATGTACCATTATGTTACATTTTTTTTTCAAGAAATGTTTCCACCAATCATAGCTAGGCGTCATACTACTCAAAAGGTACTGAAAATTGATATTATTCCTAGCTTTGTATAGAAGTGTAATACTACTATATTAAACAAGTTTCGGCTCGCAAGTTCAAAATAATATTAGCCAATATTTATGTTGCACATCAGCACTGTACATATTTTAATAGCACAGTACATATCTTAATAGCACAGTACATACTTTAATAGCACTGTACATATTTTAATAGCACAGTACATATTTTAATAGCGCTGTACATATTTTCTATTAAAATATGTACAGTGCTATTTGTACTGTGCTATTAAAATATGTACAGTGCTATTAAAATATGTACAGTGCTATTAAAGTATGTACAGTGCTATTAAAATATGTACAGTTGTACATATTTTAATAGCACAGTACATATCTTAATAGCACAGTACATACTTTAATAGCACTGTACATATTTTAATAGCACAGTACATATTTTAATAGCGCTGTACATATTTTAATAGCACTGTACATATTTTAATAGAACTGTACATATTTTAATAGCACTGTACATATTTTAATAGCACAGTACATATTTTAATAGCACAGTACATACTTTAATAGCACTGTACATATTTTAATAGCACTGTACATACTTTAATAGCGCTGTACATATTTTAATAGCACAGTACATACTTTAATAGCACTGTACATATTTTAATAGCACTGTACATACTTAATAGCACTGTTACACATTTTAATAGCACTGTACATAATTTAATAGCACTGTACGTATTCTAATAGCACTGTACATACTTTAATAGCACAGTACATACTTTAATAGAATTGTACATATTTTAATAGCATAGTACACATTTTAATAGCACAGTACATACTTTAATAGCGCTGTACATATTTTAATAGCACAGTACGTATTTTAATAGAACTGTACATATTTTATATAGATATGTATAATCTGAAATGCTACTTTAGAACAGAATGCAGTTAATGTTGGACTTTTTATTTATAACGTACTATTCACTTGGGGATGTATAGGTATATCATCGTTATTAGATCGCAGTATAAGTGAACTTACTTGACTGACGTTGCTTATTGAATGGTAGTGTACCAATCAGGACAGTGAATTTTAAAAAGGCGGTGTTTATGGATAATGGGATTCATCCTCTCGAACACAATTCTGTATTGTAATAAATCCGAAGCATAAGTATATTAGAGATTGTAAACAAAAAAATCATTTGTTTTAGAGCGTGCGTGTCTAAAAAAGCAGTGATTGAAAAAAACAACTCGTAGATGAAGTTCCTCTTGTACAAACTATAAACTCAAGACTCTGAGGAGATATTGCTTAGCAATTTTGTTGCTTAGGGCTGTTGAGAAAACTGTTTAATCTGTCAGGAAGGTGAAGGATGTGGTGATTAGGTTTTCGTTACTGTGAGCTTGTTATATCTCGGGGATTTTTTTTATAAAGTACTATTATACTAAGAATGTATCCAGTCAACAGTAGAAAATTTTGATATTGCTTTAAGGCTTATTGTCCGGTTGCATATCCCACTATATTACCTTATATTAAGAAGGTCCCCCAGTAAGTCTTGTTTGTTTTTGTTTGTTTGTTTTTGAATTTTGCGCAAAGCTACTTGAGGGCTATCTGCGCTAGCCGTCCATAATTTAGCAGTGTAAGACTAGAGGGAAGGCAGCTAGTCATCACCACCCACCGCCAACTCTTGGGCTACTCTTTTACCAACGAATAGTGGGATTGACCGTCACATTATAACACCCCCACGGCTGAAAGGGCGAGCATGTTTGGTGGGACTGGGATTCAAACCAGCGACCCTTAGATTGCGAGTCGAGCGCCCTAACCACCTGGCCACGCCAGGCCCCCAGTAAGTCACCGATAGGTTTACGAACTAACAACGCTAAAGTTATGGGTTCGATTTTCCATCGTGAACAGAGCTCATATAGCCAATTGTTCAGCTTTGTGCTAAAAAATACCAACAATAACATATTGTAAGATATGAAATAGTTTCGTATAAACTATTTTTGAAATAGAGAACGAACTAATATAATGACGGTAAATATAATTTTTCCACATCGTATAGTAGAATAAATCAATAAAAGATATACATGCGCATAATTTATTATTTTGCTATTATTCAATTATTCTATGAAACCAGTCAAGGAATTTCAACAATGCTGATATTGACTTATTACATATGATAAATTATTTTCGTACTTAATTTTTTTTTTATTCTCTAAAAATACATAAACATATCATGATAAGATATTTTCCTATCATATAGCAACGTATCCCGTATAGATGTGCACTATCAATATATCAAAATTGCTATAACGATATTCTGTACGATCAAAACCTCAACTCCATATCAAGATTACACAGGCCTGCAATGTTTTCGCTGTCTTGAAATGTTTACATGTTCTTCGGTGATTCCTGTACGATGAATCCGAAAATGATATCCATTTTTATCCATCACGTACGGTTTTTTTCACAAAAGGTCATAACGCAATATATAAAAGAAAGACCACAACACGTAGTTTTTAGACTAAAAGACCTATATTTCACACAAAAAATTGGGATGAATAAGGATGCATATTCTTTTTACATCAGTGTTCTTCTCTTTTCTTCAGTTTCTTTGTATTTTTGTTAACAAACATAATAATAAAAAATATTCATTGTGGTAAACGAAATTTTAATTTGATCTAAGTAACAGTTTTCTTTTCTTCTGGATTTGTAAAAAATACTTACATGGTAGCAAAAAATTAATATTATTTTCGAAATCTGCGTAGCCGAATTGTGGAAAATCCGCTATTAAAACCAAAACAACTTTTATGTAGTTTAAATTCTCAGGCCCGTGTTATTGTTGTCCTTTGATATTTTTTCCGGAATTCTTAACCTTTGAAAGTTATTTATTTTTTGCTTATATATTTAAATGAGATTCGTCTCCTCCCACTATAAAGCTAGAACCTTTTATTTCTAGTTTATCTGACAACTATAATTTTATACTTCAACATTATTTTGATCATGCGGAAGCTACGTCTATTTGTGTATTTTAGATTTTCCAGCAGAGGTACACAAGAGAAGCCTTCCTATGTATAACCGTTCATAACTTTGAACGAGGCTAGAGGGAAGGCAACTGTTTAAGAGCATTCTCCGCCAAATTTGGGGCAGCTCTTGTCTGATCGGTTCTAAAGTAAGGAGCGAGATTTTGCTGTAACGGATCACCAATCTGCAGAAGATTTTAAAATTCGTTTTTGATGCTAAAATATTTTCTTACTAACACGTTTATTCATACTCAATTATTGCGTATCTAAATTATTTGCCTTTCTAACAATGTTAAATCTCATATTGTTTCACTCCATCTGGACTGTGATGGGACTCCACAATTGGAGGGAGGAGTGCTTATGCTTTGGCAGACGCTAAGCTCCCCTAGCGTGTAAGTAAAAAAACAACAGCAACAAAAAAAAATGATATTTTATGGCTAGATTATTCAATTACACATGTTTTGAATTGTGTGGATAAATTATCTGGCTTATTAACAAGGCTAAACACATGTTTGATACTGTCCGGCTAAATGATTAAATATACTGATAGTTTTAACTTAATGTTTGGTATTTTTAACCTTTCTAAATGTTTTTTTTTAATTAAGTATGGAATTTCTTGGTTATTCTATGTGACTTACTAATAATTTTAGAACCCACATTGTATCATCTATCAATCTGTAGAGGAGTTGGTAGCATTCTTCAGTCATATTTAATGTTTTTGTTAAACCTTTTTTTATGTCTGTGTTATAAGCTAATGTGCGCGTAGGAATGAACGAATTTGAGTAAGATAAGGAAGTCCTTAAGAAAAAACGATCTTGCTCTTTTCTTATAGGCGAAAAGTCTGCGGCAATGCAACACGAAAGCAGCTCGTCCATAGCTAGCAGTAGTGTCTCTAGGATCCTGTTCATACAGTCAGCCTTGTTGTTTCTTGTGGCGAGCTTGGTAAGAAGATGACCTCCAGATCGACCATTCCCTCACGTTTCTGTGTTGTTGACTACAGATCTCGTTTCCTTGGGCGGTGCTCATTGTCTCCAGATAGGGATGAACGAACCATAAGAAACATCTGTCTTCATGCTCAGCCCCTTACATTTAAACTATCGTGGCATGCATGTCTTGTCAAATATGTCTTTTAACATCGGTGAACACGTTAGTAACAAAGCTTAGTAAGGAAAACGATGGCTGTATAGAGTCATGAGACCCGAAACAGCTGAAGTGTTGAATCCGGCCACTAGGGGCTAGTTAGGGAAAAAAGACTGGAAGTTTCCAGCGGTCCATATGCCTAAGTAGATATTAAGTAGATGTTTCATATTTAATAACCTAAAATATACGATGCGTGTATAAAAAGGGATAAGTGAATGTGTAAACGGAGGACAACAGAAACGAATATGGTAAGTATTTAACACGTTTATGTAACTCTCGAAAAGTTGAGATATCGTACAATTTTTTCACATTCCACAAGGTTCGTTTGTTTTAAATAAAATCGTAATTTGCTCATTTATCTACTACTACATGTTGGTAAAAATTCATTTTGGTGTTTAAGATGTAGAGATACACTTGTTATTCAACTCCATACCGACTCTCTTGAGATGTTCGATGTTTGTCAACTTTAAAACATAATTTCTCTTTAACCTAGGAAGAGATTAATTTGTTTAATCGTTTCAAGAACCATATATTATAGTTGTTATATATATGAATATATATATATATATATACCCTTTAATATTTTCTCAGTACTGAACATGGAGTTTTCTATTGCGTCATTTCCATTACTGTCTGAGAGCGTGAGTAACATTCTGCTTAGTTTCTGTGTCTGTGATATTGAAAATGGCTAAGAAAATAAACACAGTTTAGTGGAAGTATAATTGTACCTGACATTTTCTTGTACTGTATAATACGTATCGCACTTCGTGTGGGACGAATGATCAGGTTTCGGAAGTATACTTACACATCAATAATTTTCACATAGGAAGTCGTGTCAGGATGTGTTATTAAATTTCATTTTATTTTCATGGAAAAAGAAATACAGTTTTTGTGGAACTATCACAGGAAGTATTATTATAGTGTGTTACTCGAGTAAGTTTTCAACAGGAAATAAGCTCAGTTTTCATTGAAAAAATATTTACACATTAAAATACATAACAACCCAATTCTTTTACCAAGAGATAAACATGCTTTTTACAAAAGTTTATGAAGGTACGAACTATTGTTGTAATTCATAATTAAACAATGGAAATAAACACAATTTTTATATAAAAACGTGTACACATTAAAATACATAACAACCCAATTCTTTTTACCAAGAGATAAACATACTTTTTACAGAAGTGTATGAAGGTACGAACTATTGTTGTAATTCATTATTAAACAATAAAAATAAACACAATTTTTATATAAAAACGTGTACACATTAAAATACATAACAATCCAATTCTTTTTACCAAGAGATAAACATACTTTTTACAAAATGTATGAAGGTACGAACTATTGTTGTAATTCAGTTTTTTGTATAAAAATTGTGTTTATTTCCATTGTTTAATAATGAATTACAACAATAGTTCGTGCATTCATACACTTTTGTAAAAAGTATGTTTATCTCTTGGTAAAACGAATTGGGTTGTTATGTATTTTAATGTGTAAATGTTTTTATATAAAAATTGTGTTTATTTCCATTGTTTAATAAGTGTACACGTTAAAATACATAACAACCCAATTCGTTTTACCAAGAGATAAACATACTTTTTACAAAAGTGTATGAATGCACAAACTATTGTTGTAATTCATTATTAAACAACGGAAATAAAAAAAATTCAAGCGAAAATATATACACGTTGAAATACATAACAACCCAATTATTTTACCAAGAGATAAACATATTTTTACAGGGGTGTATGGAGACACGAACTATTGTTGTAATTCATTAGTAAACAATGAAAATAACACAGTATGTTGATATTGTCATGTATACATCCACCCAGATAATATTATGTTCCATTACAAAAATAATATTTTATTTAAAAGATGAAATCGTAATTTAAGCCTAATCTGTTTAACAATTATCTGCTTCAGTCTATTAAACCTACAAAATTGAAATAAATAATGGAAATATTTGTTGTTGTTTTTCTTGTACAGATTTACTTCTATAAAATTTACGTCACATCATAATTATTGAATATTAAGAAAACCTACTCATGCGTATATATTAATGCATGCTTTATACGCATTTAAAATGGCACGTTTAATATATGTTCTTGCATAACATTGAAACTGAGGTAACTAACTCCACGTAACCCACAAAGACAATTTTTCTGTACACACGCTAGAAATCCTACGTGATTGGTTAAGTTTTAGTTTCAGTTTAGTTACCCATAACATCGAGTTAAATTTCAGCTAATTTTATTCATTGTCAATCATACTTCAAAACACTGAGTTACATCCATAAATCTTCTTGATCTAAGCCTCATTTTTTGTTCCAGAATACATACGACAGTAGTGTTCATTTCTCAGTATTAAAACGGCAGATGATCGGTGTAACATCAATATTGATCGATCTTGAAAGAAATGCCTAAAACCTCTCTAACATTTTCATATTTGAGCTCAAAATATCGATTTGCTTTGGAATTTCGAATGTCTTTAAAAAAATATTAGGCTTCTTAAATATATATATAAAAACAAGTACCGTAACAATGATAATGAAACGCTTCGTGCCGCTTCTGCTTATAAAGCATGCTTCTCATAAAGTAGTTTTAAAGGCAAAAAATGCTTGAACTTTCAAGGCATTCATAGTAGGCACATACGTATCAGCAGAGGTTTGCGTAGACAATAAAGTGCACATAATTTTGTATAATAGTTAATAGTCTTTTGTACGAGTAGAAAAGACCATAAGTATCCTGTTTTGTTTGCTCACACAATGCTCTTTGTGTTGATAATAACATCCAATTCGTTCAGATGATGTAATTAAACAAAAGTGAAAAATATGTTTCCGTAAAAACAGTTTTAAACAAGTTTTTAATAACCTTTTCCTTAGATAAAATAGAAATGGGCTCATTGAAGATCATTAAATATCTCTTAAATGAGAATTTTGGATTTAGATGGTCAAGGTATTTTAGGTTTTCTGAGGAAAACGATTTTAATTCCAGACAAATTTTTCTAATCTATTTTTTTTTAAACAGAAAATTATAAACTGGTCTAAAGATGACAAGGATTATTTATGGTCTTGATAAATTCAAAAATCGTGGCTTAGCTCAACATGTCGCTTAATACCAGTCTATATATATATATATATTAATTAAAAAGCAACATTAAGAACTAAGTTACATTAAGCTTAGAATGAGAGCTATTGAGAGTCATATTTGTTAAGGCTCTAGGTAGTACATATTAAGCCACGTTTTAAGAGAATAACTTTTTATTCAGTTATATGAAGTACCTACTATAAAAATGAAAGTTTTCTATCAGATCTTAGAGTCTTAGATGCTTCATTAAGTAATATAAATAATTCTTAAGATTTTGTAAGGTTTAAAACCGTACCGGTTGTACATATCAGTACTGAATAAAATACTGCACATGACGTATATATTAAATAAAAAGCATACTTATAACAATATACATGGTCGCAAATAAATGGTGAGTATAAATAACAAAAAACACAATTAAAGTAATTATATCTGTCAAATATACTCATCCAAGGTGAAAACAATTTCACGGAAGACACACTGAGAATCGCAAGTTTTATTTAGGAATAGTGGTTAGTGTGCTTATATAGTGCAGGGTGTTTCAAAAACTGTAACAGAAGATGGTTAGTGTGCTTATATAGTGCAGGGTGTTTCAAAAACTGTAACAGAAGATGGTTAGTGTGCTTATATAGTGCAGGGTGTTTCAAAAACTGTAACAGAAGGTGGTTAGTGTGCTTATATAGTGCAGGGTGTTTCAAAAACTGTAACAGAATGTGTTACTGTGCTTATATAGTGCAGGGTGTTTCAAAAACTGTCACAAAAGGTGGTTAATGTGCTTTCCATCATTCTTAATCAGAGAATCAAACCCATCTCTAAATGAAACTACTGCCAGCAGCATCTCTTCTGGACAGTATTCGTTGATCCTCGCATTATTATACACACTGACACACATTTGATTCAAATAATTTATTTCATACTTTTGGAGAACTAAAAGCAAGTTAAGTTTGCAACATAAGCGATTTAGGAACACAAATTTTAAAATATTCTGTACCCTGCCATAGTTTGATGAATAACACATATGTTTCTCAAGGAGACTCTAGTGAAATTTTATTCTCTTTTAAAATGCAACCATTTTAAATATGAAGTTTTCTTTGTCACCCTGTATAAGACGTATAGCACATAGTAACATTTAGAAGTAACATTCGTAGTACTGCTGGTTTGAAAGTTAAGAATAATTTTACATGCAATATTACCAGAAAACGATTATTGATCCTTGAAACATTATACAACCTGAAATTTTATCTAGCACTAAAACAAAATGGCGGAACGATAATATAGGCTATCCATGATAACCTCTCAAAAAAAGTACATAATACTTCTAACCATAAAGAGCCTGCACCATTGGTTATTCTATTTCTCTGCCTTTCTATTTGGTCTTACCAACCGTTCTACAACTGCACGGATCGTGTCCAGTAAAAAAAGAAACAGCCATAACTTACAAGCTGCACGTCCTCGAGGCCGCTGAAGAACGAGATATTATATTTTCTTTCTTTTTTTAGAACACCACCAGATTTCCTCCTTGAAAATGATGATACGGTGCCATCCTTTAATAAAGAGCTCCGATTACTACAACCTGGGAGGCAGAGATAAAGTCACGTGGCTACAAAAGACAACAAGTTTGTGGTTTTCATCTGCAGACAAGACTGGTCATTAAGTCATTTGTCTTTTCATCGCATTCGATACGATCATGGACAGAAATATGACAGATGACTAGTAGGGGAAAAAAGAGCTAAAACGTACATTAGCTAGATGTGTGAGTTTTATTTTATAAACGAAATAAATATTATTAAATAGGATATTTTATCAATTTAATGTTTAAGATGAGCTACGTTTTACACAATAAGTAACGAAATATTTGTTCACAAAAAGAACTAACATAAAATATTATGTTTTAACGATTAATCATATCCTCAACTTAACTTTAATGGTTGTGTTGAATTATTTCTTTCAAAATAAGAAATGAGATTTTCCTACACAAAAATGATGAACTTGAAATAGTATTTTTAAGATTTAGTCATATCCTCAGCTTCACTTGTTATGTTTAATCACTTCTTATAAATAAGAAATGAAGCATTTCGATATATAAAAATAAATCTAACTTAAAATTGCATTTTTTAAAGAATAGCAAGGTCCAGTACGTTATATAATAACGATTTCCAATATATAAATAGACAAACCACACGACAGCCATAGCCTATCTAAAGTCGGGGTGGAATGGCATATATAACGAGTAAATATTGATATTGATTGGCTTTCGTTGGTGCTGTAATGTCCCCGAATATTGTTCACTTTTGGAAAGGGTATGTAACAGATCTTTCTAACTAAAATATTCATACACTCAGATCATAAAGACATGTTCAGATTGGGAATTTAGAAATTATGAGCCGGGATATCCTTTGTACTTAAAAGCTTTGGAACCCAACGCTATTAAGAAATAAAGAATATGGATCAACTTGGGGTATTATAACCATCAAGAAAGAGACCTGCAATAAGTCATGTTGTAGCCTTGGTAAGGAAAGTGCTGCTTCTTTTAGTAGGTGAGAATCCCCAAACACAGTGGCAAAACCCGTCCACGTGCACTAGATAATAGTGTGCAAAATAATCAACAAGTACCTCTATCTGGAAAC